GGAGCGAGCGAGCTTGTAGAGCGAGGGAACGCCAAAAAGCTTCCCAGTTTTACTCAATATATAAAAGCACGCTTCAAGAGGTTTCTTCTTAAATCCTTCCTTTTACTGCTTTCTGTGTGCATATTTAAACTGTCATCATGTAGATAGTTAATTTATAATCGCTTATAATAAATAGGGGTAATTTAGTAATTTTATACTGTTATTTTAGAATATAATCTGTCATAGGGAACCCGAAAGGGGCGCTGTGGGGTGCTAACACCTTCCCCACGCGTAACCGACTCCCTTACCCGACTCTGGTTGTAATGGCCAAAGTTGATTTATAAAATCAATTGCCTTATCCCTTTTTCCAATGTTTTGAGTAAAACATTGGTGGCGACTCCACGAACCCTCCTTTTACGAAAACCACTAATCCATGGAGGGTCCCGCTTGGGATTAATATGGATTGGTGAGACGTTTTAATAAATAAATTGGATAGGATCGACAAGGTCTCAGTTTGAGAACAAGTCGTTCTAATAATCCAATACATTCTCAAAACTAAAATAAAAGCGAGCTCGACCGTCTTCGTGAATGCCGAAAGCCCGTTCGGGCCGGTGGCGACAATGGACATGAACTCAAAGTGATAAAATGAAAAGCACATAAGCAAGGCACACAAAATTATTTGCTCTCGGCAAAAGCAAGAAAACAAGATCCAAATCAAATTGAAAATTGGCTAGACTAAGCACTTCTTGAATTTACGACAAAGAAATGATTAAACATGACTTCTAGACAACAATTAGGATTTAAAAATCAAAATCACATGCATAAAAATTTCAAATGACCGAATCAAACAATTGTTCATAAGACTCAAAAAAATTGAAAACTGGACAAGGTAGAATTCCTAGACTCAATGTGATTGTCGAATTTTTCAAACACAATCACACCAATTGGATCTCTAAAAAAATTTGAACAAAATTTAGATCCAAAAATCAAAGCAAAATTGAGACAAGAAATGACACAAAATTCATAAACCAATCGGTGGAAAGAAGAGCTTAACCTCAAGGATTGAACCTATGCTCTTGATACCAAAAATGATGGATCCAAGTAGAAGAGATGAAGGATGAATCTCTCTTGCTTGTATTCGCACTTGCTCTTCTTCTTGAGACCTTGAACTTGAATGGAAGGAATGAAGAAAAAGACTAGGTTTGAAGATTCAAACCTAAGAGGGAAGCACTCTAGCAAAGAATGCCAAGAAAAGCTCACAAAGGCTTTTGGAGATTTTGGATCCTGAAAGCTAAAACTAGACTTGGGTGACTCTTGGAGAGAACTTGGCTAAAGTTTTATTTCAGAATTCTCTAATCTCAAAAAGTGAATACATAATGAAGGGAACTAGCATATATATGCCACGAATCAATGGGAAAAATGGAGCCAACTCCATGTGCTCCAAATGGCGCCAATTTTGAATTCAAATTCAAATTTGAATTCCAAATTGGACGTTCACTATGTTCCCCCATGTGGCAGCCACCTTTCTAGAATCCTACTTACATTTAAATGTAATTTAGGGTTCATTTGAGTTATGACATGTGCAGCCACCCTTGGCACAAAACATGTGACTCAAATGTAACTCTAATTACTCTTAAATGTAATTACAATTCTATGATTCATGTTTAATACTTAGTTCCTTTAAATTCCTATTCTAATGGCCTAAATACAATGTACAACCAAATACAATCAAAAGGAAAAATTACAAGAATTAAAATAAGCCCAATATTGGGTGCCAAAAGCCCAAAGGCCCATGAAGCCCAAAACTAGGCCCAATAAGCCTATGGCCCAAAATGTTACTCTATGTGGTCTAAAATACACGACCAAAATATATGAAACCTATAATAATATAAGATATACAAAATATAAGAAAATTGATATCTCAAGATATAGCCTATATGAAGTTCAACTTGGGCCTTCCCAGCCCATTGGGCCCATTAGGCCTTGACTGGCCCAAATTTTCATGTCTAGCTCATCGCTTAACTACCACACCCTATCCCAAACTTTATCAACTTCATTGGCTCAATGATGATGGGGACATGGTAGTTAACCAACAAGTGGAAGTCGAGTTTTCTATTGGGAACTATCAAGATAAGGTCAAATGTGATGTAGTTCCCATGGAGGCTTGTCATATTTTGTGTGGTAGGCCATGGCAATTTTAAAAGCAAATACACCATGATGGCCTAACTAATAAAATAACTTTCACTCACAAGGGTAATAAGTTTGTGCTTCATCCTCTATCACCTTCACCAGTGATGCAAGATCAAGTACAAATGAAGACCAACTATGATCAAGAAAAAAATAAATTATTAGGGAAGAGTGAGGCTAAAGGGGTCTCCCCTAAAGAATTTGTGTTCAAGGAGAGTTATTTAACCATCAAACAAGTATTGAAAAGTACTCTCCTTATTCATCAAAGTCTTCACTCTTATCCTAATTTTGCCACTAATCTTGAAGTTAAAGATGAAGAACAACACAATTTTCAAATGAAGCATCTTCAATTTCAAGATATTGTGAAGAAGGAGTTGCCTAATTTTAGTTTTACTCCTTATACTACTTCTTTGAAGGTTCACAAAGAAGAAAGTATTTCAATGGTCTTCATAAAGCACCCAATCTTTGGATTACATTGTTTGTTGGAACCAATTTGTAATAATCTCTATTCTATGTTTGCTTTGATGGGAAGTTCTTACCCTGTTAAACTTAAATTGCTTCCTTCCCTACCAAACAAATGTAGCTTATATGATTATGAATTTCTAATAAGCAATCAAATCCAAAATTGTTTAGGGCGTTTTCTAGTAGTTTTATCTTTATCTTTTAGGAAAAACCTAGGTTACCATTTAGGGTATTTTAGGCAAGATGTTGTACTTTTTAAGAATCATTCTTTTCATTGTCTAAGTCATAGTGTCACTACATTTTTCGGTTTTCATTCTAGGTTATGTTTGGCAGCGGATCCTATCTCTACTTTTAGAGAGTCTAATTTTGCTAGTTTGTTTTTTAGGCTCGATAGAAGGATTCCTCTTAGGATCTCTAATTCATTTTCTTACCATGACAATTTTACCTTCTATTCTTGGCATGTTGTGTTTGTAGGTGATCCTTTTTCTTCCATGCATCCTCGGGATTTGAGGACAAATCC